CATCATAAACATATTCAGCATCGCTAGCATCATCATCATCATCATCATCAGAAGCATCATCACCATCATCATCACCGCATCATCATCATCATCATCATCATCATCATCAGCATCAGCATCATCGTCATATTCATCATCAGCATCATCATCATCAGCAGCATCATCATGTTCATCATCGTTCTCTCTCTCTCTCTCGATCTCCCTCGCTCTCTCTCTCTCTCTCTCTCTCTTTCTCTCGTCATCCCCCTCCCTACCAAACCCACACCCCACCCACCCCACGCCGCCAACCCGTCTGCCTCACCTCCCGCCATCTTCCCTCATCAGGAGGAGACTGGCCTTGACTACGCAGCGAAAGAAGAAGCTGCACGCGATATGGGCTCCAAACCCGGATTGCCATTGGCTGACCCCCTTCCGCCTCCCCCGCCCTCCCTCACCCTAGTCCGCAGGATCCACGACTATCGGGAGCAGGCACAGCCTGTTCGACAACAACGCCGTGCCCCCCCTTTTCCGCTCAAGGGAATCCCTGGTGCTCACACCTTTGATCGTCCCGCAGGCGTCTCGGCGCCCGACCCCTCCTTTCCTCCTCTCTGGGGCTCTCCACAACGATCGCTTCCAAGCCAAACAGGAGGCCATTTTTCGGAGACGGCCATGGGTCAGGGCCGAGCCGAAGAGGCAGCCGCGCAGGGCCCTGCCTCCTCAGCCCAGGCTGTAGCCCACCCCCAAGATGGTCGCCCAGAGAGTGCCCTCCTCTGCTGAGCTCGGGGTTGTGCCTAAGACCCCTCCTACAACCAGGCCTCTCCCCGAAGTTCCTCGCCTCCGCCCCGAATTCTCGAGTACTGTCCCCGGACCAGTCTCCCCACCGCCAGGTGGTTTCGACAACCCTCCGCCTGTCCCGCCAGATGTTTGATGGGGCCCAGGGACACACAAACAAATACACACACCTCCCAGGACTCCCCATATTTTCTCATGTGTTCTGGGATCGACGATTAGTTGTGTCTGTGGTGTTCCCCTCCTGAACCTCATGGGTCCGTCGTGCCCAGCAGCCTCCCGAGGCCTGGCAGGGGAGCTCCCCATCTGACGCACCCTCCCTGCCTTTTCGCCCCCAACCTCGACTTCTTCCGATGATCGCGCCTGCTGCATGGACTAAGCGCGTGCAAACGATCACCCCAGGTGGCAGGGGAGCGCCAAGGTCAGGATATGGACACTCGCCCTATCATCCGCGACGGTGCCTCGCCGTGGGATCGGGCAGGCCTCCAGCACCTCGCCAAAGGCGTCTCACCTTCGCCATCCATTTCTCCAACGGTAAAGCTCCGTCCATGGCTCCCACGGAGAAGGCCGAAGATCTTCCGCACTCCTTCGTTGAGAGTACTTTCTGCTTCTCCTGCAACACAGGAAGCAGCTGAGGCCGAACCATCCGAAGAGATTGAGAAGCCCTCTCGCACGGACATGTCCCGCAAGAATGCTGCAACCCGCATGCTCCATAAGTCCAAAGCGACTTCCAGGGGAGGCGAGTTTCGGCTTTACACGTCTCGTCACCGCACGGCAGGTGCCGTGGCCATCATCGGACCACAGCACGTGCCGACACGAGCGAGGGGTATTTTGTGCAGCAGGCCGAGGCCCCCTGAACCTCTAAGAGGTTCCTTGCAGGTGTGCCAGGCCAGCAGCGCGGCTCCAGGTGCTCTTCCACGTCTCCCGCTCAGCATCGGGCCCGCAGTTCTCACTGCAGCCAGTCTAGGGCCCGTTAATAGCCAAACTCGCATGCCCTCCCGCTGTGTCTTCCCCATATGTTTGAGGCGCCCGACGGTGAGGACTAGCCCGGCGGCGCACGCCTCACGATCTCCTGCCCTGGCGATGACTTGTGTACTTCCCGTCACCCAGCTCCTCATTGCTCTACCCCTTTGCTCAATATCGAAAGCGATGGAGGCTTCGGGGGTTGGGTTATCCGACTGTGCCTCTTCGCAGCCCGGCAGACAGGTGCTCAAGGCACCTCTCTCCAATTGCCCCATCGCTATTCTGTATGTTTCTTCATCCCGACGTGTCATAGCCATGTCTGCCCGAGCTGAGGCAACGAAGAAACTACAGGCCATCCTATACCAGCAGATCCGCCTCCGCCTGCAGTAGGCTCCTCTGATCCTTGCGCCTCCTCTCCTCAGCCTTTTCCACCAGGCGACTCTCGAGGTGGGACGCCGGTGCAGGGATGACGTTACCACCACGGCACGCGTACTTTCGTTAAGTGGTTTCCGACCAGCTGTGTCGCCACCTGGAGGCTGGCGGACGGCTCGGACCATCCCTGTGTTTGAACCCAAACCTGAGCCTCTCCTGGCAACGAAGCCTGAACCTGGGAATGGATCCGCGTTCCTGGCCGAGCCACTCTGTCATCGGCAGCGGCGGCGCGAGGAGGCGAGGGTCGAGCCTGAGCCCACTGGCAAGCGCCCCAAATCCTCCAAAGAGTGAGGATGCAAGCACTGAGTCAAGGTTGGTGGGGTCATAGGTTGGGGGAGGAAGGATTCCAGTCCGCAGGCTTCTCCAGAAGAAGAGCAGAGCTGAGAGGCGGTGCGTGCCACTGGTTAGAGGTGCGCGCCAGGTTGCACGGCATGCCTGAGACCTCCTTCCTCGTTTGTGCGACTCTCTTCTTGCCTGCCTCCTCCTCCTCCTCCTCCTCCTCCTCCTCCTCCTCCTCCTCCTCCTCCTCCTCCTCCTCCTCCTCTGGAATCAAGCTCGAAGCTCGAGTCTGCATCGGTCGGTCATGAAGCCTGACAAAGTGAATGGGAAGGCTAGCACGTGACAATTCAATATATTGGTGCTGCTGCTCGCAAACCTGTTTTTGTGTTGACTCTTGGCATGAGGTATCTGGAGGAGGGTGGTGCTAGCGGGAGAAGGGTCTCGTACACAGGCTGTTCTTTACAGAATCGCAGAGCCCGGTAGCTCCGCATGCGCCTGTCACTCCCGAGGCACAAGCCCAGTCGCACCGCGATTGTGGACCTCCATCCTCGCCTGTACATCGTTCCTCCCTCAGGCCTCCTCCTCCAGAAATCAAGTTCGAGGCATGCGTCTATACTATCTTCTAGAGCGACGGATCACGCATTCTTCTCTCGGCAAGGCGGTCCTCGCCTAGTCTCCTCCCAGCCTCTCTTAAGTTCCCATGCCTCTGGCAATCTCACACCTCCCCTAAAGAGGTCTCTGGGAGACTCTTGTGTCCCCCTAAGCATGGCCTCTGCACGGTCGCGCCTCTCCAGACGTCCGTGCGCCATGCTTTTGCGATTCCGCGTACGACCCTGCTCTATGGCATCAGGTATATAGGAGGGCTGGCTTGCATGAAAAGAGAGTCTCGCTGCACAGGCTATTATGAAAGCTGCGCAGAGCCTGGGGCTCCGCACGAGCCTCTCCTTCTAGAGACGCAGGAACAGTCGCACGGCGGCTGGATACCTCCATCCTTTCCTGTACTTCTACTCCTCAGCTCCTCCCCTTCCCTGAATGGAATGTATCGGCCTTTGCAATCTCACACCTCCCCGCGGAGTTCTCTAAGAGATTGCGGCGCCCACCAGACATGGCCTCTGCGTGGGCCCGCCTCCCCCGGCCCCATGCGGCATGTCTATCTTTGCACGCTGGCCCAAGCAGCTCTTTCGCAAGTCAACTAACCAGGAGATTGGGACGGCAGGCCATGACTCATATGGAGGCACGACGGTTTAAACCGCCTCACCCTGCACTCGTACCTAGGCCACAAGAACATCCCTCAAGAACATGAGACCCTCCGTCGGCCAGTACAAGCAGAGCATCCAAAGGTACCCTCTCCAGGATGTACAAGAACATCCGACAAGCACGAAGAACATTAGGGTACCCTCCCCAAATCGACCTCGAAAATATGCCTCGGTCCGACTGTATCCTATCCTCCCTCTTCTCACTACACTGTCCTCCTCTCTTCCTCGATGCTTGATGGCCACAGGGCCCATTTCCCTGCTGCCTACACAGGCACCTTTTGACGCAATGTAGCTGCTTACCAGGACAAAGCTTGACTACACTAGTCACCGCACCGACCTACTTGGCAGAGGATAGCCCCACTGTGGCCTCCGATTACAAGCGCGTGCGCGTCTCGGCGTGAGCTGCCACCTCTGGCTGGGGGCGCTTGTCGTAAGAAAGGACCCAGCCACGTGCAGTTGCGAGTACCGCAGTCGTGAACATCGTCTTCGGTGGAATTCTTTCTTATGGGGGCGCGAAACGTGCGAGGGGTGTGCCAAAGTGGGATGGCGGCGGCACGCGGGCGATGCCACTGGTGCCTTCGGCGGAGCTCCCTCTGGGGCCTTCGGTCGAGCGCCCTATGGGAGCCGCGAAATGTGTAAAGGGTGTGCCCGAATGGGCGCGACGGGCGCATGCGAGCACTGCCCATTTTGGGGCCCTGCCTGTGGGGGCCACGAAACGTGCGACGGGTGTGCCGAAATGGGTGCGGCGGGCGCATGCGGGCGCTGCCTTTTGGGCCTTCGGTGGAGCTCTCTCTCTGGGGACAACACGAAACGTGTGAGGGGTGTGCCAAAATTGTTGACTGGCGCGGAGGGCACCAGCAAGGAGGGAGAGGAGGGAGGAGGGCGAGGAGGAAGGAACGCGGGGCGCGGGGCGAGGCAAGAACGGAGAGGGGTACGAAAACAGCGTGGCGAGGAGAGAGGCGATGGAAGGCAATGGTCAGGTCGCGAAGGGGCAAGAGGGCGTCAAGCCGACATTCGCAGACGAGCGAGAAGCGGAGTGGGCGCGTCTACCCTTTCCCTGGAGAGCAGAAAATCGACCCTCATAAGCATCACCCCGGAAGCCGTTTAGCAAACGCCCCCAAAAAGGGAAAACAGGGCAGGGCTGATCAGTAAAGGGCCAGGGCCTTCTAGCAGATGTCGATTGTCGGGTCCAGGTGGTTTTTCCTCCCTCGGTTCCCACCGACCACCAGACCGAGACGTTCCACAGGCACCCCCGGAAGGTCGAGGAGGCCGGGAGGGGGGGGCGGAAGGCAGACGGGCGGCCTCGAAGTGCACCTCCAGCCCGCTCATGACGACCTGGACGTTCAGGGCCGCCAGGCCTGGGTAGTTCGCGTCCTCGGGGGGGGCGCTCGGCCGCGAGCGTCACGAGCGCCAGAAGAACAGAAGCGGCGCGATCCTGACTCCTGCTGGCCGCTCACACCCTTGGAGAGCCCGACGTCGTATTCGTGATGGCCGCTCGCAGGCCGCTGGCGAGCATGTGGGCGCTCCTGCGGTAGCCTGATTACTGGGCTGCTGGAATAGATCTATATATATATATATGTGAATTAATTCCAAAGCAGCGCTTGCATGTACGGCTTGTTACCTGTGTTCTACGAAACTAGCCTGTGCTGTACTGTCGCAGCACTTGCCTGTCGCAGTCGGCCGTTCGCGCTGATACCTTCTAGCTGGTGCCCCGTGGCGCCCTACGGTGCCCTGTGGGTCGTGGTCGGCCGTTCGCGCCTGGTGCCCTGTGGTTGGTGTCCTGTGGTGACCTGTGGGTCGTGGTCGGCCGCTCGCACCTGGTGCCCCAGGGTTGGTGCCCGAGGGTTGGAATACCCAGTTGGCGCCCTGTTGGAGCCCCCGTGGCTGGCGCCGTACGGTGCGAACACCTGCACGCCTCAACCGCAGGCGGCTGTCACCCAAGTGATACCAAAGCCCGCGAGCACTGCAGGGAGAGAAGAGGTGGAGGAGATGTATGACGGGGAGCAACAACTCGGTTCCTGTGAAGGCGTGCGTGTGCGCGCCCGTCGGGGCCAAGGCTGAAGTTCTCCAAGGAGACCCCAGAGGGCCACAATGGCTCAAAACGCACACAGTCTCGATCCTAGATTGCCTCCCTGATTTCCTCCATCATCCCCCCAAGCCCCCTCCTCCTCCTCCTCCTCCTCCTCCTCCTCCTCCTCCTCCTCTTCCTCCTCCTCTTTCTCCTCCTCCTCCTGCTCCTCCTCGTCCACCTATCCTCCTACATTCCGAACCTCCTATCCGCCTACCCTCTTATCCTCCAATCCTGCTATCCCGTAGACCTGCTATCCTGCTATCCGCCTGTCCTCCTATCCTCCCATCCTCATGTCATCATATCATCACATACTCACATCCTTCGTTCCTCAGATCCCCGCATCAACATATCATCAAAAAGTGGTCGCCGCATATCCACACATCGTCCTATCCTCCCTCACAACTTCGTATCATCATAACCAACTAGCAGCATTGCGACATGACCACATAGCCTCAGATCATCATATCATCATATTTCCATATGCCCATACCATATCGTCATATCGTCACATCCTCGCTTCATCATATCAGCATACCGTTACGTCATCATGTCATCATCTCCTCATATCATCAGATCAGCACCTCATCATATCCAGTAATCCCTAACACCATGTCTGGATGCCATCGATCCCCATACCCTCATGCCATCATCCCCCAGGCCCTGATACCCTCAAATCCTCATACCTCTGATCCCCATATCATTCAACCCGCACGTCCTCATACCTCACATCAGCACTACCCCATGCCATCATACCCTCGTACCCGCACATGTTCCTACCCTCATAACCTCATACACCCATATCCTCATCTCCTCATATCCTCAAATCCTCGAGCCACCGTATCACCCTATCATAACATCATCATATCATCAGATCCCTTCTCCTTCTCATTCTCCTCCTCCTCATCATCCTCCCCCTCCTCCTCCACCTCCCCCTTCTCCTCCTCCTCCTCCGCCTCCTCCGCCTCCTCCGCCACCTCCTCCTCCTCCGCCACCTCCGCCTCCTCCGCCGCCGCCTCCTCCTCCGCCTCCGCTTCCGCGGTGCGTGCCTCGCAACTGCGGAGACCAGACCTGCAGCATCCTGCAACATCCTCATCATCCTCCTCCTCATCCTCGTCCTTCTCCTCCTCCACGGCGTCCTCCTCCTCGGCGTCCTCTTCCTACTCCTCGTCCTCCTCCTCCGCCCCCGCCTCCTCTTCCTACTCCGTTTGCTCCTCCTCGTCCTCTGGCGCCTCTTCCTCCTCCTCCTCCTCCTCCTCCTCCTCCTCCTCCTCCTCCTCATCATCATCATCATCCGCCTCCTCCGTATTCTGAGCATTCGCACTCTTGGTATCATTAGCAGCATTCACCTTCGTATTCCTACAAGATGTGTAGGTATCTATGTATTAAGATGATGAACGAGTTGTTGCTATTCGTGCCAGTGTTGCCATTATCGTGGTTATCCGTATTATTATCAATGTTAGTAGCATTATCAGCGGTATCAAAAATATGGCCAATGGTATTCGTAGTAGTAGCCGAATTCATAATATCAGGACTACGATTGTTATTCGTGCTAATATTATTTATAGATGTGGGGTCATTAGTAATAGCACGACGATTAATCATGTTAAAAGTATTACCCGAATGTTAAAGAAGTGAAATACCACGTGCAGTCCAAACTACGACTACGACTGGCTACTACTACTACTACTACTACTACTACTACTACTACGACGACGACGACGACGACGACGACGACGGCTACTACTACTACTACTACTACTACTACTGCTACTACTACTGCTACTACTACTACTAATACTACTACTACTACTACTACTACTACTACTACTACTACTACTACTACTACTACTACTACTACTACTACGACTACTACTACTACTACTACTACTACTACTACTACTACTACTACTACTACTACTACTACTACTACTACTACGACTACTACTACTACTACTACGACTACGACTACTACTACTACTACTACTACTACTACTACTACTACTATACTACTACTACTACTACTACTACTACTACTACGACTACGACTACTACTGCTACTGCTACTGCTGCTACTACTACTACTACGCCTACTACTACGACTACTACTACTACTACTACTACGATTACTACTACTACTACTACTACTGCTACTACTACTACTACTACTACTACTACTACTACTACTACTACTACTACTACGATTACGACTACGACTACTACTACTACTACTACTACTACTACTACTACTACTATACCACTACTACGATTCCGAATACTATTATCACTACCATTCTTATTACTACTACTACTACTACTA